ACGATGAACAGAAAGTCACTTTATCAAAGTCAGATTGGCCCGATGTCCATAAATATGCATTTAAATCGAGGTAAGTTTATGCAGATCAAGAAATTTAAATTAGGTAAAATAATGCAATTTGTCATTAGATCATATTCAAATGTATTTTTTTTCTATCAAATTACATCAGATATTATTCTATTTTATTTTTAACTAGATCTATAATAAAACTGAAATGAAGAGTCATTTTTAAACGTTGTCTAGGGCGTACGGACGAAGCTACCTTTACCACGGAAGTGATAAAGTGGGTTATATGGTGGACAGATGGGGCACTTGCGTTGGACCGTCCACAAGCTCCTGAGACACTTCTAGGAACATTACCACTGGCTAATGAGCAGTACGACGAGTACTATCCCAATGTCCATCGTTGTTTGTTAGTACTGCTCACTATGCCAGTGTCTCAGTGTCTACAGCTACAGCTGAACGATCATTCAGCACAATGAAGAGATTGAAACATACTTAAGATCTACCATGACTACAGAACGGCTGTCTGGGCTTGGCCTAATGAATATTCACAGAGACATGAAAATTAACTCCGAGTACATAATTGATAAATTTGCTGCAAGAAAACAACGCCGCCTTGCATTTGTCTTCAGAAAATAACTATCTCGGCATAGATATCATCATGAAATTTATCACATACCCGTGCCGAGTTTGCGACTCCATAAAATGGTATTGCACTGGCATATAATTTGACAAGACATCATTTGCGTTACATAAACTCTAAGACGCACTAAATGTTAGACATGGCGGTTTGCCTATCACGTCATGAAAAATGGAATTTTGATGGTACCCCAATTGAAGTTGTTAGTTTGAAGTTGAAGTTTTTCTTATGTAGGAACAACATTCACCTCTAACCTTTCTTTTTCAAAGATGGCAAGTGAACAAGCAACGAAAGGCAAACGTGTACTCATTCACACATTATCGAAACTATATAACTATGGTCAGTTCAACCTAGACGTGTTTTCTTAACATTTTGACACTAAAATATGCCCGATTTTATTGTATGGTTCAGAAATTTGGGGCGTTCACCGCCAAACCTCAATAGAACTGATACATAACTATGCATGTAAACGATGCATGTGTGTAAACAAAAACACTATAATTGCAGCTGTCCTTGGTGACTGCGGGAGACATCCTTTATATATTACAGCTGCAAAGCGAGCTATTCGATACTGTTGCAAAATTGTGAAACTACCTGACAGTAGATTAGTAAAGAAATGTTATAATATGTTATTGTATCTATCAAATAATGGAAAGAAAAACTGGGTTACAGAATGATGTTAAAACATTATTATATTAAAATGGTATGGGGTATGTTTGGGACAATCAATATGTGCAAAATGAGCAGCTATTCTTAAATCGGTTTGTAACTAGATTAAGAGATGAATATTTACAAAATTGGCATTCTCTTATAAACGATTCTCATAAACTTGTTCTTTATGCCATGTACAAACAAGACTTTTCCCATGAACAGTATCTTGATGTATAAGATATACGTAAATTCCGTAGCGTAATGTCACGATTTCGTACGTCTGCACTTGACCTTGAAATTGAACGTGGTCGATACAATGGAGTAGAGAAGCATTTAAGAATATGTAAATTATGTCAAGTTGAGGTAGAAGATGAGTACCATTTCTTATTAAAATGTTCTAGACTTTCAAACATTCGAACACAATTTATTCCTAGAAAGTTTTATGACAAACAATGTATTCAATCATTTGTTATTTTGATGAGTAGCAGAAACCACTCATTAATTAAAAATGTTGCTATTATATTTATTATGCTCAATTAAAAAGAAAACGTATACTTGAACAACTTTAGATATATTCTCTGCATAAGAAAGTATTGCTATCACTATATATATGCTCTTGTATCATAGAAAGCATTGTATTATATGTATTTATGTCATTTCTTGATCTTGGGCCGCTGGCCATATGTCAATAAACTTTTTGTCATTGTCATTGTTAGAGTTATACTATAGGCGCTTCAATGAAAAATGTTTCTTTATCACTTCAAATGGTCTTTGTTTTTGGTATGTGATAAATAGAATATTAAATGCGTGTAAGTTCATTACTAAATTTATTGAACGATTTGAATAAAATAATATTATGCTCGCCAGCTAGAGGCTCACATAATATATCATTTTATTCAGCACATTAAATAAATTTAGTATTAAACTTACACTCTTTCAGTATCCTCTATTTTTTAGATAAGAAGGGAATTAAATATGTTGTCAAATGTCTCCAGATTGCGTTATTTTTCATCTATAAATCCAAATTTTACATACGGAGGGCTCACCTCCTCCCTTAACCCACAAGAGGCTCACATAATATATCATTTTATCACATAAAACGTGGCGCAGGAGTGTAATAAAGCCATTTCATAAAAACGATATTACACTAGACGATATTACACTAGTGTAATAACTCTTTGACGTCACGTCAGTTGCGCTATAACGTTTTAGCGTTACCACTATAGGCGCGTGAAATAAAAGTGACTCTTGTTAACAGTTTACCGTTCTTATTTTATATATGTGATAAATAGAATATTATATTCGTGAAGATTCAATACTAAATTTATTGAACTTGTTGAATAAAACAATATTATGCTCGCCAGAGGCTCGCATAATATGATTTTATTCAACTCGTTCAATAAATTTAGTATTAAACCTACACTCATTCAATATCCTCTATTTATTCAACTCATTAAATAAATTTAGTATTAAACTTACACTCTTTCAATATCCACTATTTATTAGATAAGAAGTGAATAAATATGTTCTCAAATGTCTCAAGATTACGTTATTTTGCATCTGTATATCCAAATTTCCTCGGGGGAAGTCCCCCCAACCTCCTTCCATTTACATAGGTAGGGCTCACCCTCTCCCTAAACCCGCCAGAGGCTCATATTATATATCATTTTATTCAACTCATTAAATATTTTTAGTATTAAACTTACACTCTTTCAATATCCACTATTTATTAGATAAGAAGGGAATAAATATGTTGTCAAATGTCTCAAGATTGCGTTATTTTGCATCTATAAATCAAATTTTTCTCGGGGGAAGACCCCCGAACCCCCTGCCATTTACAAAGGGAGGCGGCCACCCCAAGCGTATAATTAATTTTGGCTGCGCTACGCCACTGAAAAATACTAAATATTACTAGTATATAATTTTTTTGATGACACAAACATTTAAGACACTTTTTTCCCTAATTAATAATTCTTTATCTATTTATTTAAATTTATCCTTAATTACTAATTCATTATCTATTGATTTCTAAATTAAACTACTTAGATAATTATACATTTTTTTCAAGGTGTAATATTTTTAACAATTGAGAGACTTGAAACTTTAATTTACATTGTAACATGATATTTCTATTTTTCTATCATTACTTTACCTTTTAAGGTAGAAAACATTGATGACCACTGTTTGAAAATTATCAATGTTCCTTTAACATCTATCACAAATTTTACAAACAATAAATTGTTATATTAATGAAAATCTATCAAACAAAAACAATTGTATGGGATCTGCTATATAATATTTTTAATATTGTGATTTTCTGCGTAACTTGTCTATTTACATTAATTTTTTCATGGAATTATTCATACAATTATATTTTAATGATTTTCTTTCATTGAAATAATTGTTTTATTTAACTTTAATCTCAAGAAGGCCAAAAAACATACTGATGGTTTAACGGTTACTTAATGTAACGCGCCATTTAGATGAATTCCCCAGAGCTATGTATACAGAAAGTGCAGTAAAATGGTGTTAAGTTAGCAAGGTTTCAAAATTTGTGTATTCTACTGTTAACATATAAACAACATCACATCTAAAGCAAATAACTCCCTCAGATTCATTAGAAGAAATGTTAAAACTCCAAATAAAAAGATAAAAGAAACTGCATATAATTATAAGACCTATGTTAGACCTCAGGTTGAATATTGGCCTCCATAGTTTGGCATTAGGGCTGGGACGAGTATCCGAGTACTCGGATAATCACGAATCAAAGTGAAAAATCAAGTTTGAATATTCGTAAGCCCAGAGATCGTGGATTGCGATTTAATTTTTTTATATAAATTCACTGTTTCTCACACTCTTCAAATCGAGAAAAATATGATTCGAGTATAAATTATATGAAATTCTGGAAACAAAAAACAAAAAGTTTACCTAAATACAATTTGCCGGTTAAAGACCATGTACCATGATGCTGAGCTAGGAAGTAATTGGTTTCAAAAAAACAAAACGAAAATACTCATCCAAGGAATAAATACATAAACAAAGTTTATATTTTATATGTTAAATCTATAGTATTGTTACTGTATTTTTAAATGAACATTTTTTTACACATTTTGTACATGTTTTTATGGGAGTCTTGATAACAAAAGATTTGTGGTTCGATTTGTGAATCGTAAGTGCTGAATCATGCTTCGGATCGGATCGTCACTTATCCGACGATCCACACCCCTATTTGGCATCCTTGGCAGAAATACTTAATTTATAAGATAGAGCAAGTACAAAGATCAGCTGCTAGATACATTTTTAATGATTATGACTATACAAGTAGTGTCTCAAAAATGATAAATGATCTTAATTGGCAAACCCTTGAACAGCGTCGAAACATCAGTGCTGTAACCTACTTGTATGAAATCCAAAACAACATTGTTTTTGTTGACCACCAACACCTTACTCAAACAAGAAATCTGAACTACCTGATACACCGACCTGATACCCTACTCGAGGACACAATATCATCAAAATTCTTTCTTTCCTAGGAGCATACGTCTTTGGAATACAGGGAATTCCCCAGGATTTTTTTTAAGCGCTACATTTTTTGAATTAGACGGGGGTGGGTGCGGGAGGGGGTCTTGACCCCCATACCGCGTGTCGAAAATTTTTGCCATTTTAGGTGTCAAGATACTGCTGTGGGCTGTTTTAAAACAAATAATGAAAGCTTTTCACTTGATAAACATTTTCTTAATTTTTATTATTTACTTTTTCCATTTCCAACAATTCAAATAAATAAACAATTATATATAAACACAAGTTCACAACATGTGATCAACATTTATATGTATGTGTGTGTCCCATTTAAATGAGTATATTTCAGTTTTTTTTCTAATTAACATCATTAAAAGTGGGTCTGTCTTCTAGGTTTGTTGTCCTTCCATGCCTTGACTGCCTTCTTAAAGTTGAAAGATTCTAATGGGGGTCCTTGAAGGGTGACGGCAAGAAGATAGTTTAGAACTTTAACAGAGAGACAATTCCTGTTTTCAGTCTTAACTCTCTTCAGGCACTCACAATCTGAAATTAATAAATGAAAGAAATCATTTATGTTAACCTCATGTCTTTTATTTATATTGTTTGTCTGCTAAAATTTTTTGAAAATTTAAAACTTCCAGTTGTTTAAACTTAACTAACTAAAAAAAATTATATTTGAAATGTTGAAAAACTAGCAAAGTGTTACACATCTGCAACTGTCATTGGAATTTCATTAATGTTCAAGAATGAATGAATTTAATAATAATTACCTGCAGTAGAGGCTGGGAGGAGGAGACCCATTCTGTAAAGAGCTGGATGACTGGTAGAAAGGTAGTCCAATATATTAGACGTTACAGGCTTGTTATAGTTTTTGTCGGTCAAGCCTGACGTCTAATAGTTATTGCTCAAAAACGCATAGCATCATAAAAAATTCCAAAAATGTCTATTGTCCTGCCTTTCAAGCTTTATTCAAAAGCTTATCATATTTTCTTTCAATTTCATGCTCAATCATACACAAAAACTGTCAAACGATGTACTTATCAATTAAAATCAAATATAAACATCAATCTATTTTTGTCTATCAGCCATACTGGTTAAGCAAGGTGCTTTACAGATTGATTCCAAATTTTTGAACGGAAAAATATATTCGAACACACTGACGGTGCATGGGCAATTATTTCGTTAAAAAAATATTGTTAGATTGTTCTGACTCAGTTAAACGCTTGCATTTGAATTAGCCAATCAGATTTCGCGCACTTTACGGCCGCCATTTGTTTATTGGCTGTAAAAGGAATTGAAATACATGAGAGGATTTAATCATGATTTTTCGGATGTGACAGTTTAATTATTTTGACAAAAGGTATTTATTTTTTAGTTTTGTTCATACATAGGTCAAAAAATATGTAAATACACGCTGTCCTCATTGTTTTTCGTTCCGCCCGATTTTCTGGCGGAACATGCTATGGGTTTTGAGCAATTTCGATATGACGTTGCTTTGCCCAGAAGCAAAAATATCTCAAAGCGACGTCATATTTATAGGACTAGTAGAAAGGTTGCCAGTAATCCAGGTCATGGTCTGGTCGGCTGACTTATCAGTCCCCTCTAGACTGGCACGTACCTGGTGCCAGTGGCTGCGGCACTGCTCCATAACTACACCAAAGTGCCTTGCCAGCTCCTGTATGCCCTGACAAACCAATGCTAAAGGGTAGGACAGTAGATTGCACTTCACAAAGCTGTCCATGAACAGGCTCGATTAAAGAGGGCCTGCAAAATTAATATTTGTTTTCATTTTGGGGATTCAGTGAACAGAAACAGATTACAAGATATTTTTAATTAAAAAAGAAAATGACCAATTGGCTGTCACTAAGTGGGATTGTTGATGTAAAGTTTATTTCTGAATAGCTATGCAGTTTAATCCAAGTAAAATACGATTATCATGTATATATTAAAAAGCAAAATGATACGACATTGCTCATAAAAAAACTCTTAATTGATAGTGAAGTAGGCTTCCCTTATTCATGTTAGACATATTATTTTTTGAAATCTACAGTACTGCTTAGACGTAACGATTATAAGAAAGTGAAAGATGAAATTGAACATTACACTTATATCAAGACAATTAACCCATTCATCCCTAAATATCAAACTGTTAGATCGAAAGTCAATTAATGCCAATTATATTATCAAAACAATAAAAGTTATAACACCTACCTGAAACATGTAAATATCACACATGCCGCGGTTAAATTGAACCCATCTCAATACACGGTAATTGACAACACTTGAAAGTGCACCAACAGTCGTCTGCAGACATCGATGACAGGTGTCTGTGACGTCACACAGTCTAAAGGCAATCAGTGTATCGGGTTGTGTATACGCCTCGGGGTAATTATCTACACAGGACATGTATATTGGCTCGTTTATTTGGCTAATTGGGGTTAACTTATAGACACAATAGAAAAGGAATATCGGTCATTTTTTAAAGCGCTATGATAATTTTAAGCGCATCGGGATTTCTTGTTCTGAAATTTTAGCGCATCGGTGCCGATGCGCTAAAAGCGCCTAGGGAATTCCCTGGGAATAGCCTTCCCCTAACTGTTCAGTCCAGCCCCAGTTTAAACATCTTTACTGAGAGGCTTGACCCATTCTATAAATTCTAAACTGCACACTATGTTTTTAAATTAATAGTCTTGTAGAACTTTTATTCTTTTAACTTTTTAATTTGCATATAAATAAATTCTTTTATTAACAGTTCCCTGACAACGAGCCTGCTAGTCATAATCAGAATTGATTGTTAAGCAGTATGATGTAGATGTAGATGTAATGCTAACATGTTTCAAATATTCTTCCAATTCAAATTGGACAATTCAATCATTTATTTATTCATTAATTTATTGTAATGCTTTTAAAACACAATTTAAAGGTATATGACCTACAACTTAATATGAACTAAAAATGAGTCTGATTTGGTAAAGGGCTGAAACATCCAGGACCGAAACGCTTTGTGAAATTTGGGGCCGAAACATCTTGGGGTTGAAATGACTAGAAATATAAAAAGCCCTAGTCAGAATTAACAAGCCAATTTGCCTATGTCCTGCTTGTTCCTGATAATTTAGACACGTAAATATTTAACAGTTTTAAAAATACTGTACACGTACAGTATACAAGTAAATGTAAAATACTAAAATGTATTATACTTGCCCTCAATGCGTGGTCAAATCCTGACAGTTTCTTCTTCTTTAAAATAACAATGACCAAAACCTGAAAAAAATAAAACAATTTTTTTTCTGAAAATCTAAAAATAGACACCAGCGCACTCACTAACTGGAATTCCATTTGTAGTTAGCGTCTATTTATATTCGTCTATTTATATAACGCGGAATTTCGGCATTTGTTACTAAGTTTAGATTTTTCTTAAATAAAATGTATACAACAAGTGAACATAACATCAGTTATCATAGTTAAAAACATAAAATTTTCTTTCAATATAAAAATAAAAGGCACGTTCTACAAATACTGGTCTAGCATAAAATCTGTTTTGTTTTACGTTTTTAAAGAAACGCAGTTACCTGTGGAATGAGGCCACTTCCGACTATTTTGCTGGTTCCCCACCTTGTCTGGTTCCCGGCCCTTGTGATGATCTACCGAAATCATCTTTTCATTACCAAATTCACTTATCAGATTAAAAATAATTAATTTTTTATTATCGGATGTACGTAATGTACACAAAACTCCAGCCAATTCAATGTCCCATGCATATAATATCATTTTAAAGCAAACAAAACAACTCCAATGAAACAAAATTACACATATAAATTAAAGTTAAAACCAAGTAGGCCTATATGTAATATTGTTTTGTAATCAAAACATTTCAAAATAATTATTTCAACATTCACAAATTGGATAGTCACATGGAACCCAAAACAAAAATGCTACTGTCTTAAACCAATATCAATATTATTTGTGGATTTTTTCTTTGCATATTTAGCTTAGATAACGTTTTATAGGCCATTTTTGTACACATTTTTGTATTTTCTGATCTCAGATCAGGAAATTCAATATATCAGCCAATCCTGACCCCAGAATTTTCAGGGAAAAAACCTAACAACAAGAAATTTCCCTAAAAACCCATGTAGTTTTAAAAACTTGGGGACTTAAAAGGAAAAAAAATATTTTTTTTTTGGGGTTTAACAAGACCCAACAAATTAAAAACGCTTTTAAAATTTTTAAAAAGGTAGCGTGCGGCTATAAGAATGCCCAATTTAAATCCCAAAAATCAAAAATTTAAACCCCAAATTGAATATCATTTTATTAAAAATTTTAAAATGAATGCTATTTTTTGCGTTTGTCGAATCCAAATTTACGGGCAAAAGCGTATTTACACAAAAAATTTCTGAAAAATCTAAAAAATTTTTTATAAACAGATATAACGGGTACAAATTTAAAAATTGGGAAAAATTTCAAAAAATACCACAAAAGCTTGCGGGCCCTTTGATTTTATTTCTTTTATTTCTCTGCGATCGCTACAGGTTATGTCTTTACCGGACAACATCCACTTCTGAATAAAAACCGCCATAGAAACTAGTTCTTCATTCTGCAGTATTGTTACATTCCGATTACATATCATTAAAATATTGTTTGCAAAGTTGTTTTAATGTTTTGAAAGTTCAAAATAGTTCATTTTCATGAAATAATAGACTCTACATTCCTTTAAAGAAAACAAAAAATAACAGTTCATTGATAAAATCGTAGTTTATACCTACGCGTTAAACTTCGCATATACGCATGCGCTTGCTACCATGAATGAATACATCGTAAATATAGTAAAGTCGTCAGAATTATATAAATGGGACGAAACATCTTAGATAGATATTTAATCAAATAAAATTCCTGATTTACATTTATGTAATAAAATTTGCCTAAAATGTTTTACAAAATGAGTATGGAGCTCCGTAACAAAATTTACTTGCGTATACCGGAAAATGTTTTTTTTTGTTTTCTTTTTTAAAAACCTGGCAATTATAGTAGCTTCGAAAAATAGAAATTTCCTAAGCTATTCTTTTAAATACCTTTTTAATTCAGCAATATAAACAATTTTTGATGGTTATTTGATGAAATGGGTTCAATAATATCAGTTTAAAATCGATAATATATCATAAAATACGCTGATGAAAGTGTTCGCTGAGCCTGCGTCGCACATAGAAAAGCCGAAAAACACATGCCACAGGCAATAAAAAATGCTAATTTCCATTTTAATCACTAGAGTAATTGTTTTTCACACTTCCGATCAATAAATTTATCAATTGTCAGCATTATATCGAAAAGAACACACTATAAAAATGTTTTTGGAAACTCAACGGGTAAGCTTAAAAAACATGGATAAGCCGAAAAACACTTTTTACGGCGATATAATTCCAACAAAATTAGTTTTCTATCCTTTAAATAATTAAAATTTACTTTCTTTTTGCAAACAGTGTAAATTAGAGAATGATTCTATTCTGTATTTAATGCGATATGAAAGTGTTTTTCGGCATAGTAACAATCTAGCTAGCGTCAAAAACATGGAAAAGCCGAAAAACACAGTCGTAGTGAAAACAAGAGCCGCTATTAATTTTTTTTCAAACTTTTAAATGAATAACTATTACATTTTTTTTGTTACCAATGGAAAATGTCAGTGATATTATTTTTATAAATACAGTATGAAAGTGTTTTTCGGCTACGTAACAGTCTAGCGTCAAAAACATGAAAAGCCAAAAAACACATTTTACGGGCGATGAAATGGACATATTCAAAATAAGAACTATTAAATAAATTTTTCAATCGTCAAAATGAATGATTATAACATTATATTTGTTAGCAATGTAAAATATCAGTAATATTTTGTAATAAACATTGTATGAAAGTGTTTTTCGGCTTTGTAACAGTCAGCGTTAAAAAACATGGGAAAGCCGAAACCACATTGGACGCGCGATAAGAAAGGTATATGAATAAAAATACCCATAAAATTTGACTTTTCAATCGTTTAAATAATTAACTTTTACTTTTTATTTGTTAGTAAAAAAATAATCTAGCAGTCGTTTTATATTTGTATGCTATATGAACTTGCGTATTTTCAATAGAGTAAGGAACATATAAAGAAAAGCAATAATTCATTGCTGATACAATGGCTACACATCATCTAAATCATTACGCAGTATTCATTTTTATTATCTTATTATTTATTTCAATGGTGAAACTTATAGGTTGGCACAGGGTGAGCTTTTAGAATTGTTGAATGTCGGTCATCCATCTTATGTCAACTGTGGTCTGTCCACATTTTCCATCGTCTGATACCCACGGCCGAACTATTTACATTTTTTAATGCGTTTATTTAAGGTCGCCGCCGGAAAGCCCAAGTACCTTCAAGTCGGGCCATCCTAGAGCGCCCGCCGAGATTTTTTCGTCGATTTCTTTCTAGCTTTAATTGGTGGAGGAAGACCCTAGGTGCCCCTCCGGGCATTATTTCAGGCTCGAGTGGGCACCTAGGTAGAACCACCGACCTTCCGTAAGCCAGCTGGATGGCTTACTCACATGAAAGATTTCGACCCGAATGAGGATCGAACCTACAGCGGTGAGGTACTTGTGATCTCAAGTCAGCGACCTTAACCACTCGGCCACGGAGGCCCCCTGCATTTACATTCATCAGTTATGTCATGTTAAATGTTAAGCAACCATGTGTATCCGACAATGACATTTAGTTGTTAACACTCTACTGGTACGTCATTTAGTTTGTTAACACTCTACTGGTCACACTTTTGCCCCAATTGTCACCCAACATCATAAGAATATGTGTGACAGGTTTTGCTCGAGTTTGAACATAGATCACCTTGGTTGAAAATCAGAAGTAGGTCACAGTAGCCAAAAATAGAAAAAATGTTTTAGCTCAATATAGTGAGTGGTTCATCTAAAGTTAAGAAAACTTGTTAACTTGCTGTCCAATATAAATGAATTTCTTGGAAAGGTTGTATATGAAGACTATATGTAATGAATAATGAAACTATTACAGTACATTTGAATTGTTTTGATAATAGATTTCATTTTTATTAATAAACGATAAAGTAATGCATTTGAAAATTAATGTGTAGAGATGAATACAACACACCAGAATATATGTATTAATGCATCAAAGTACAGTACATAGATCTGTAACATGGCAAGCTATACAAAAGTATGTACTATAATTTGGTAATTAGGTCTTGTAGGATGATTCAATTTATTGAATTTGTATAGAGTTCAAGCCAGGTCATGTCTTTTATTAGATAGCATCACTGAAGACTCAATATTACTGTTTCAATATTCTATACTGTAGTCCATTTAACGGGTGTTTAAAAAAATGATTTCTTTATTGCTCATCTATCAGCTTGCCTAGCAATACACAGATGGAACATCACATCTTCCTTGTCTCATAAATAACTTTGGAAGAAAAAAGCCTTGGTGTGAGTCACTTGTTAGGGACATTGACCTTGGTCAGAAGATGACCCCTATTGTTTTTGAGGTCAGTAGGTTAAAATCAACATGGCCTTGATGACAAAAATGGATTACATGTATATTACCCAGCAATGTATACTTCAGTACTTTCAGTGCTTTGATTTTACATTGTAAGCGCTAATTGAAGTATAATGAATACGTAAAAGATTACGTTCAACTTTTGAAATTGTAATTTTGCATTTTAAAGTTTGTCCCACGTATGCTGTATTTTACGTGACATCATAGGAAAATGCAAATTAAAAGGGAAAAAATGATGAAAACAAATCAACTTTATAAGCTTAATATTACCCTTTCATTCAATCTATGTTAGTCAGAATGGATCCTTTTGGCCATCACTTATGTTAGCAAAAATATTTTCGCTCAGATGAGATAACTGCGGTATGGAGTTTTGTTGTTGTATTCATACGTGACGCTCACTGACGAAAACAATAGTCTCTTTCGCTTTCCTAGACTACCCTGTAGTGTACATATTTACGTACTTGAACCACGATAAATGTTATATGGTATTGTCGATAAAATATATGAAAACATTTAATGCAACATAATGAAAATATGTTTACGTGACTGTAGCTTTACGTGACACTTATTCTTCTTTTGTGCTAAAATACGATCCGACAACGATAATATGCTTCGTGTTGGTATTTGAATGACGTCACTGCATGTTTGGGTCCGCCATTTATTCAAAATTACAGCTCTCTTCATGGCAAAAAATTTTAACCTCAGGTAAGAACATATTAAAATTTATGTATTCTTTAGTTCTGTAGAACAACATAGACGTTATTTCTTTTTAGGCACTACTGAATGATTTTAAACACTGAATAGAATAATAAATATATCTGTAAACAAGTATTATTTGGAAATGTCAATAAAGTACATATCAATGAAGTCACATTCCATTTACAGTCTGTGTCACGTAAAATACTGTTGGTGTCACGTAAAATTCAAACATATGCATTGTGTGTTTAAGACATTATTCTAAGCATTACTGTCTTCATTTTTAATATGAAAAAAGGAAAGCCTCAAAGCGAGCTCGATTTTCTTTTACCATAAAATAGTTTAAAATAATCGTTCATTTTTATTTTACATTTTCCGTTTTAAAATTGTCATCCGGTATT